TACTATAAATAATTCTATATTTGTAATTTATTAATATCAAGATGATTCAGTGCCGTTATTCTACACCCTCCAGCTCAGCAGGTGGCGCCTCTCAACGCTGCCCTGCGGAAATGTGCCGTTTGCCAACAATAACCACAACGAAGAAAAAGAAGCGTGAGCTCATTGGCTGTTTGCCGCCTGCTCCTGATGACGCAGTCCTTTTAGCTTGTCTCTGATTGGTTGCTCTCACATCAGGGCCCCGCCTATCGGAAATGTTACCGACTTTAAAAGGAAAACAATGACACGCTGGGAGCACGTCCACGGTTGATTTACACTAAATACGTAAACGATTCCACGTCTTTATCCCGCGAATGAGCGTGACGGTAACCAAGGAGTTTAGTGGAAGTCTTCTTTATTTTCTTCAGGTCTCAGTTTACTCGTCAGTGGCTACACATAGCTAGCCAGGTTTGCTAACTAACCCTGAACCTCTGCACCAGAAACACATGTTATTGGAAAACATGAACTCAGAAGAATGTGGTTTGTACAATTAAATAAACATGTAAACATCATAACATGTCACAAACTATGCGACTGACTCAACAGTAGCTGTGATTCATTCACGTTCTTCTCTATTCTTGTGTCTCTGCTGACTTCAGGTTGGACCAAGAAAAACCTCCAGAAGCTGTTCGTTCAAATGAAACGCAGCATCCCCAGGACGTACGCGACATGGTCTTACGTGAAAGGACAGAAGCACGTAGACTGGAACAAGGTGGCGTTCCCTCCTTTCTCTGCGGAAGCCTGCCAACGAAAGTGGAGACAGATTTTGCAGAAGGTGACCCACGGTTTGAATCAGAAATTCCACATTTACACAATAAACTGAAACTCACTCAAGAATAAACTAATTCTTCGCTAGATTAGCTTTTGTTTACACTCACCATGAGCATTATTGTGAACTATACCGTAACTGGGATCAGCCTCATTTCTCTTTGTCTTTGATTCCACAAGAAGATGGAAGACAACGTTTGTTCTGTGACTTGGAGCATTACAGATAGAGATACCATTTTCACTCAGGCGAAAAAGTCAAATATTCTTGCTGTTGTTGTTGCTCAGATGCGCAAACAACGGTCCCTCACAGAGCTCATTGTTGAAGCTGAAGATGTCCTGTCAAACCCTGTCCTTAACATTAAGGTAAGAACAGCACAATCAAGCTCTTTTAAAGGATTTAAAATGGCTTAGTGGAAGGTTATGTTTACATTTATTTCACTTTGACATTGATAGATGCTCTCAGTGAAGCAGTGACACATAATTACAGTCAGAATGGCTGCTAGCAAAAATGTCCAAAGTACCATGTTTCATACTGTTAATTAACAGTGAGTGCTTTTTGCTGCAGATCCATCCGGACCTCCCGAAGAGGCCCCCAACTCCAAGTGCCTTGTTTTTTGAGGAGAACTGGGTCAAGATTAAAGAACAGCATCCAGCACTAAGTCACCATGAGTTAGTGGTGGCCATGGGCAAAAAGTACAGAGAGCTACCAGATAAAAAGAAGGTACTTTGAGTGAGAGGCCACTGCTGAAACATTCACATCATTCAGTGCTGCTTTAACTGTTTAACATGAAGTGCTGACTTTTATGTGGATCACAGACTCTATATGTGAAGAAATACCAGCTTGCTCAGCATGAATACAGGGAAAAGACAAAGAAGTTTAGGTAAACACATACCATGCAGTGTGAACATATACTATGGGTCTCCCAGTGTAAATTCACTGTCTTGGAAATTCTTTGTCTTTCAGGGAAAAGCATCTCACACTTCCAGTTATTGAGGACGGGAGGGAGCAGGTGACTGCAGATGTAAGTGATCCAAGTCACATGAGGCACTTCTATTAATGAACAGCACTGTGCTGTTTGTATTGTTTCTACTTCATCTTCTTACAAGGTTCTAAATCTTAGTTGTCTTAAAAGTGATGTGTGACTTGTTAACAGAGCCCTGAAGGTGCAGAGGGTCTGCCACCCAAGCCTCCTATGTAAGCCACACACACACACACACACACACATATACATAAACACACTCACTCACACTCCAGCGACACTAATTGGTGCCTTGATACGTATCATGATAAAAAACTTTTTTGCCAAGCCATGCGTGAAATGTGTTAAGTTGTCTGTATCATCACAGCACTGTTGATACATGTGTTGTACCCGTATGCCTTAATTTAATGGATCACAGGCCACGCCCACTCAGTTCAAATAGGCACTGTGCCGGTCAGGTTTGCAGCACACCCTCTTTATACCCTTCCTGGCAAAGAGAGAGAGGATGCATCACGTTTTACGTCTGAAAAGTTGGCCACATTGGCTAAGAGACATGGCAAACAGGGATTTAATCTTGTGACAAAAGTCTTGTGTCATTTTGACTTGGTTTTATTCAACTTCTTAATCACCTTTTTGTTCCTTTTTAAAAATTTTCCTGTGTATGCATATCTTAAGAAATGGCTATAAGATTTTCTGCAAAGAGCAAATGGCGTCCATGGCCGGTGTCTCATATAGAGACTATATGAAAGTTTGGGCTCAACGTTGGCGAGACTTGACTGAGAGACAGAGGAAAGATTATTCTGAACACTGCAAAGAGGTATGACTACACACACACACACACACACACACACACACACACACACACACACACACACACACACACATGCAGAGTTTCACATATATGGTCCAACAAAAACAAACTGCTGCACCACAATTTTCTGATATCAAGATCATCATAGTGGAAAAATCAGTTAAATCTTTATGCAATACTTGGTTGATTTCTTTCAGTTGAAGAGAACGTTTACAATCAAGCTTAAAAAATATATAAAGGTGAGTAATTTAGAAAACGAAAGATGCAGCATCCAACTGACTGATGGACTTTTTGTGACGTTAATGTTGACGTTTCTCAGACTTTAGATGAGGAGGAACAGAAGAGGATCCTACACGAGAATGCCATGTACATAACTAAAGAGGTGAGAGGCCATTTTGTTGTTCCTGCTCAGGACAAATAGTCCTAATAGCAAATTCTCAGGACTATGTTCATTGTTAATGTCGTGAAGATGAAGCCTTTTGACTTTGCCTCATATTAACATCAGCTGAGAGTCAGTTGATAGTTTGTGTGCTCTTCACTTGTGGAAACTACACCAGATTAATCCTCTCTTCTAAGGTTTTAAGTCAAAGTGACGAGCCCAAGATGCCATCTCGGTGAGCAACGTCAGACGACAATTAAGTCACTGGATTCATTACAACTTGCAACAAATGAATTATTCTGTTGTTTGTTCTCAGTTGTCTTAACGAGAAGGAACGCCACAAAGAGAAAGAACAAGAAGACGTTATAGAATATTCAAGGGACCTGCAGAAGGGGTTTAAGGTCTGCCCAGACAGACCCTCAGTAAGTGAATTGTTAATACAACTTGCGTGAAGTTGCTCTTCCAAAGTAAAGTAAATGTATTTTACTTGAAATAATTTATGTGGTTTACATAGGAGTAAACTCATAAATAGCTATGTGAGTTATATAATATATAATTCATAGAATAAAGATATATTCTATATGCTGCACTCACGGTTGAAAGGCTCTCTTCTCAGTGCACATTTATTTTATGTCTCACAGGATTCCGAAGATGAAGACATTGATGACAGCAGCAGTGATGAAGAAGAGGACTATCTAGACAGCGATGAGGTTTGAAAACTAAGCCATAGTTGTATGTTTTATATTCAGGTTTGCAGCTGTGCATCCAGATGATATAAAATATCAACTTTTGATCCACAGGATGAGGAGGAGGAAGAAGAGGAGGGTGACATCACGTTTGATGTGTATTAGATGGTGATGAGATGGACAGCAGAGGTCTCGTCTACGCACGCACGTTAAGTTCAGAGGAGGATTCGGGATTTGAGAAGATGGACGAGTGCCTCAGTGACAGACTTTCCCAAATTAAGGGAAAATCTAGCTGCTCACAGGAACATAATGCATCTGTGAACAAAGGAAATCCACTTGATTGTATCATTAGTCATCTTATTTTTTATATCTGCTGATAAAATGCTTGAGCGATAAAGAGAGGATGCACCTCTGAAAAACGTCTGGTTTTATATTTTTTGTAATCAGTGGGATTTTTAAATGTTTTGATATTGACTGAATGGAAAATCCCAAATATTGAATTGGGCATTATTTATTCATGTGAAAAAGCTGTACTCATGTTGCTGCCTGTCAACAAACGGAAAAGACATTTCCAATAAACTTATGTTACATGAAGATGTAATTCTTTACTTATTTATTTTCCTGTGTTTGTGTTTTTATTGTCACCTTTGCTGTTAAAGTGGGATTATTATCATCATAACTTCTAACTGGTGATATCATTAATTTCATCTGTAAGTACCACTTGTTATTTTTATTATACAAACCAGTCTGACAGAGAGCCAGTGCAATTTTGTTAAAACCAGGTTGAAAACTTTTATTCGCACGAGCCTGAGCTATTTAATAAGGTCATACCATTACTGTGTTTATTTTACTTAATTTCTTCACTAAGTTAGTTTTAGATATTGACACAGATTTGTCTATTAATTAGTTTTGCTTTCATATGTTTAATTGTTTTAAAGAACTGGACTCAAACCTGTGTCGTTTCAGAAACATACTATGTATATATTTTTTTAATTTAACTACCTATGAAGCCAAACATGAGTGTGGATCACACGTTGCGCGGAGCAGCAGCGGCGGCGGCAGAAGTCACATGTTGTCCCGGCTCCTCGCCGCACTGAGCCGGCGCACAGAGGCAGCAGCCCCGGCACCGCAGCGGAGGAGGAGGGAGCCCTCGCCGGAGGAAAAGTCGTCGTGTGGCGATCGATTACTACTGCCTGCTCTCTCTGACGTCAAGATGGACGCCTGCCGAAACAGGTAAATAAACACAATTAGTGGTTTTTGCTGGGGCTGTGATTGAGGGTTTCACCGGCGCCGAGGCCTTATTATCGGGACTCAAGCGTCGTCGGTGCGCCTCCTCTCCGCCGCTTCGCTGGCGGTTTGTCCCGGGGGGGGGGAGAGCTGAGAGGCGGACAGCCGCAGTGCAGCAGCAGCAGGTTTGTGGAACAAAACCTTTCATGGTTTCCTCCAAACAGCAGAAACTTCCACCTACAAACAAACACAGCGCTTTGTTCTGCGTGTTCTCAGCCCCCGGTGCGGTGCGGTACACCGGGGGGTTAGCTTGTAGCTGTAGCCGCGGTGGACCCGGTGGTCTGCGAGCAGGAGAACCCCTCCGCAGCTCCCCGCTAAACCTCTGCTCATTCTCGGTTGCTCCAGCCCATTCACAGCCCCGCTCTTTGTTTTCGAGCTCCGGGCTAAAGCCGCCTCCAGGAGACCCACAAGGAGCAGCTAGCACCAGTGTTTTTAACTGTGTGTGGAGGTGTTCAACAAACCACCGCTCAGGCTCCGTGTGTTTTTGTGTGTGTGTGTTATTCGCAGGTTATAACGAGGGAAGCGGCTCCTCTGCGGTGTTCAACGTGCATTCGTGAGTAGCTGCATCACATTACATGTTGCACCACACACCCAGATGAACCAGGGCTCTGAACTCCTGCACCGTGTGTTTGCCTCCTGCTGCAGCCCCTGTCCCCCCTACAGCATGACCACAGCAGCGGCGGCTCATCTCATAACTCTGGCAAATGAAAATGGAGGAGGTTTCAATGTCCAGCCTGGACAACAGCAAGCTGGAGGTACAGTGGAGTCAACAACGCCGCAGCCTGCTGGCATCTGCAGATAGACAACAGGATGCTGCAGGATGCACCCAGAGGAGAGGGACATTCAAAACCAGATGCGTTTTCCTCCTATAGTCATAACTGAGCTCGATTTGAGTTTCAGACTGTTTTCTCACAGTCACGAGAAACAGCCTTCCTCTTGTCTCAGCCCGATCATTGTTTAAAGGTTCAGTGTTTAGAATTCAGAAACATCCAGTGGTGAAGTTGCATGATGCAGCTGAATACCCTTCACCTCACCCTCCTCTTCAGAACCTGTGATAGCCTTCAGTTGTCATAAATACTCAAAAGGTGTTAAGTCTGGGCTACTGTAAAAAATATGCCGACTCGCTCCCGATGTAAATATAAAGTATTTAAATATGAAGAAAACAACGATTCATACAATCCTCCAGGTTTTTCCTCTCACAGTGCAAATACACGCAGATTGAAACGTCTCAGCAGACAGAACAAAAACACACACGTATGATCCCTGTATGTGTCCTGGCTTTACTTTACTTGTGTTGGTTTCCTGATTCCTCCCCTGGCAGGGCCTAGCTCAGGACATCCTGTCTGACCTGGTGGAGGATGCATGCCTGGGTCTTTGCTTCGAGGTCCACCGGGCCGTCAAGCAGGGTTATTTTTTCCTGGATGACACGGACCAAGAAAGCATGAGGGACTTTGGTGAGCATTGAGTCACTCCCTCTCCCTATAACAGAGGAGTAAAGCTTATTTACCTCAGGGCTGGGCAATATAACAATAATTAGCGACGTCGACAATAATACCTTTCTTCGAGTCGCATTTCATACAATTACATTGAACGTTATTTCAGACTTTGCCTTCAATTTCCAGAAATTGTGGACCAGCCAGGCCTGGACGTGTTTGGCCAGGTGTACAACCAGTGGAAAAACAAAGAGTGTGTATGTCCCAACTGCAGCCGAAGCATCGCCGCATCACGCTTCGCCCCGCACCTGGAGAAATGTCTGGGGATGGGACGCAACAGCAGCCGTATAGCGAACCGCAGGTAATGTGAGAGTAAATCAATCCCAACAGCTTACCACTGAGATACTGCTGTTTATTCCAGTAAAAAAACAAAAAGACAATCCAGGCTCATAGCAAGTTTGCTTCACTGAACTGGATTCTGACTGTGTGCTGCTCTGATGTACACAGGTTCTTTTGTCCCGTAAGATCAATAAAAGTCACCCTCCTACTGTGAGCATGAAAATTTAGATGTGCCAGCTAATAAATAATTCACATAGAAGGTATTCATGCGGAGGAGGTGTAATCCCTCTCTCTGGTGTATAGTAGAAAATAGAAAACATAAGCAAAAGAATCTTAGAGATCATTACAGATGTAGCTGTGTTGGAATGCATTTTATATGTGTTTATAATAAATCTGTGAGTAATCATGCCAGTCGTTGAGTGTGTGTCATGTCCTGTTCTTTCTTCTTCTATAGAATAGTCACTGGTAATAACACAAACAACAAATCAGAGAGTGACCAAGAGGATAATGATGACGTCAATGATAATGACTGGTCTTATGGGGCAGAGAAGAAAGGTAATACACAAACACAATGTAATGAATGTTGGACATATATGAAATGACTTTGAAATATCTAAAATTATTCACCTATGTCTTTTACAGCTAAGAAAAGGAAATCTGATAAGGTATGTTGTATTTTTACTATAAAAACCAGAACAATTGACAAAAAATCCTTTATGGTGTTATGAATATTACTCATTGATTCTCTTATTTTTCATCTCAGAATCCAAACTCACCCAGAAGATCCAAATCATTCAAGCATAAGAGCAGTAAGTGTATCCTGTTCTACAGTTTGTGTTCTTCAGTGCTTGTCTCTGTTTAGTTTTAGTCACACTGAACCTAAAAACTAAAGACACAATAATCATTGTTATGTTTGAGTGCTTACTTATTGAGAGCGCCTCTATTTTGAATAAGCATATATGCATTTTTGGAAACTATTTTAAGTCCATGCTTGAACTTTCTGCATGTTAGTGGTCCCAAATTACAGCAGAAGGCATGAGATGGGATAGTCAGTTTGTTGCAACATACAAAACAAATCTTGCTCATTGCAGAATTATGGCATATTTCTTGATTTCAGAACAAACTAGAAGTGCTTGTGGATTGCATATTTCTGCCAAGACCCAACAGTCCCCTTATGAAACTGAAATTTCATGAATTTCTTTTTCTAGCTCCTATAGTGTGAACATTCTAAAATTGACCATGAATGAATGAACGAATGATCTTCCTGCTCTTTTTCTCCACAGGCATGATGGGTCCTAGACGTCGAATGGACAACCAGGAGAGCCCACGCATGCTAATGAAAGATGAGGCATTCCCTCAATAACACACTCAGCCACAAATACACATTCTCTTGCCATCGTGTGTGTGTGTGCACGTACCCACACACTCAAGCACGGGGAGACCAACAACACTTCACCTTTGGTTCTTAATCATGTGATATCAATGGACGTTAAAGGCAACATTTGTTGTTCGCTGCTCTGCAGAAGCAGTCCCGACCTCCTACTGTATACTTGACAGATGTTATTTTTCTTCCACAAAGTCATCGTACCAACACTCATTTTATTTTTGTTCAGTTAGATTTTTTGCTGCAGTCCCAAATAATAAATATCAGCATACACGATTTGACTGCACAGAAGTAGAGTGTGTCGTAAATGCATCCGAACGGAGGCAGCTGTCTTATGTTGTTTCTTAAAATACACAAATGATTAGGCATTAGGTGTAGTTAACATTTCCTCACCTGTTAAAAAAATATCGTTCTTTGAAAACAATTACGTCAAAGACAATCTTTGTTAATAGTTTGTCTTTTTGTGTTCACATTCATTGTCAGGCTCAGACCTCTCCAGTGGAATTGTAATCCAGTATGTGTGGGAGTGTGTGTGTGTGTGTGTTTGTGTAAGAGAGAGAGAGAAATAACAGCTTGTCATTCACTTGTGGAAACTTGTTCTGAAAATGTTCAGTAAATGAACCCCTAATTGTACAAGCAGGTATTTTACTTCAGAAAGCAGCAGGTTTCTTTTTGAATTTTTTTTTTTTTTTTTGGGTGGATAGGCCGGCTTGTTTTCTAGCATTCAAATTCTGTGTTTGTATCAAGTGTTTACATTGTGAAGGGTGACATATATCCTTTTTGTGTGACGTGTTAGTGTAAATATTCCAATAGTTGAATTGCTGCTATCATGGCTCAGTTTGTTTCATCTGTCTAGCATAATAAATGATTTGTTACCTCTCCCATGGTCTTGTGCTGAATTTAAACTCTTAAACACTTTGATGGCTGTAACACAATAACCTCAATGACCCTGCCCATGCACTTTGACCAAATAACCAACAGGAGGTGCTGTAGATCAAGTGATTGGGATTTTAACCAGAGTTGTATGTGTTGCATGAGACAGTAAACACTGAGCAGAAAACACAACACAGTTCAAACAGTTTGGGCTTCGTCACATAAGTAAAGATTGTAGTTCATGGCTGTAAACAGCCAGGGGGCGTCTTCCTACAGTCTTGTTTCTGAGTTCTGTCGTGTGGCAGTTGTTGTTTGCAGGATGTATTGCAATAGTGGTGAACCACATGCTCTGCAAACGAGCAAATTCAAAATTGATGTCTCTGATATGAATCATGTTATTCTGCTAATATCAAAAGACTGAGAGACATGCTTATACATCTAAGAGTGGTCCTTTTGTCAAAACAAGTGGGTCTGTCTTTCACAATCTTGGATCATAGCTGGTGTGTTAAAGTTTAAACCTTTGGCACATTGGAAACTGACATGGACCCAAACAATCCATCGCTGCTTTCAAACATGCACTGGACACCGCAGATCCTCCGTATTTTCTCGTGAACAGCTGCATGTGTAAACGCAGATGCCCGATTGAGACAAACATTTAAAAAACAAAATATGTCCTGGTGAAAAAGCGGTGAAACACACGTAGAAGACACAGACGAAGGTCACTTCTGAAAACGGTTTATGAGGTCAAAGGTCATCCCAAGTTCCTTTATACACCCCTGCTGTGAAGCAATTACCAAAAAAGCCCCAGGGCCCCTAAAGATCTAATGTTTATTACATAGCCAATTACAACCTAAAAGTTCAATATGAACAAAAGCAGCTCGTTATCGATGCATGCCTTTTACACAAACTCCAAGTGGGAACACCTACAGTTACATTTACAGTATTTTCATACCCACACATTGAATATTCCTGCTTAATGCTAGAAGAAAACCTGCAGTGCAACATCATTATTCCCGCGCAGGACTCTCTGGTACATGATGTTGTTTCCGTATGTTCTGTTGCGGACACTGTTTCTATAGCGGAAACGTGGAGGTTTCAGGGTTTGTGTACAAACCACAGAGCAGAGTGTGGCTGCTGTGGTGTAAACATGAACCCAGCAGTGTTCATCATTCTGCCCGAGGACCAACAAACAGGTCGGGCCAGTCCGTTATGGCAGTTTTGATAATGGGGTTAATTGCTTTAAATAATTCTAGCAGAGCAATTTCATCTCATAGGAACACGTGGGGATATGTTGATCGAGCTCATTTTGATTAGTTAACACACAAGTTAAATAAATAATTTTAAAAAAGCAAGTCGGGCTAACCTCTTTGTTTTAGTTTGTTCACGCCCAGAGGAGAAACAACACGAGAGAGAGCGAGTAAAACCAAAACTTCCCGACACATGTGAATGCAGCACCCAGTATTGTGTGCGGGGGGGCAGTTTGACGCTTTAACACGGGTTTGGTCGCTGTGCTAGTTTGTTGTCGTCATGTTTTTTTTCGTTATCTTCACCGTGAACTACTAGACTCTGCTCTCAGCCATGTTCGGGCTCAGCGGCATCGGGAGGAGGTGACGAGAAGCAGCCGCCTCCAGGTGACCACAAGCCCGGCAGCAGCAGCAGCAGAAGCAGCAGAAGCAGAAGCGGGTGGAAGCAGACCCCGGAACTCGCAGCGGCAGGAGCTAACGTTAGCTAGCTTTTTGTTGACAGGCTTCCCGCTGTCAAACCAGAAACTCACCGCTGATTAAAGTTTGTTTTCCCGCTTTCTTTACGACTCCGTACCCCGTCCGGATATCTACTCCTCCACACCGAAGTTTCTTTCACCTCTCACCACCTGTGGAGCCGGAACATGACATCGAGGGGAGGCTTCCCTGGTCCCCAGATGAATCCGAGCGTGAACCCCATGAACGTCGCGCACTCGGCGGGCATGAGGATGTCAGGAATGCCGCATGCTCCGGCGGGATTCCCCCGGAGCATGAGCAACTCTGCCCAGTACCTCCAGGTTGGTTCTCGGCTCATTTCATCCGCGTCGAACGTGTTTTTGTGACTTTTATTCTGGATTGTGATGAGTTGTTAAAATACACTTTAATGTTTTAAAAGTTAAAAAAAACAAAACCCCCAAACTTATCCAGTTAAAATAAGATTTAAAACAAACATCGGGCTCATCAATCCTTAAAAATCAAGGTGTCACTATACTTCCGCATTTTATTCTTCGTGTTATCACTCACTGCTGCTAGAATTAATACAAGTGTACATTAATATACATTCCTCAGTATGTGTGTAAAGCATTTTAATTGGATTTAAATTGTTATTATCATGTTTCTGTGCATGTGTCTAAAAAGTGAGAATCAGTGAGAGTCACGTGGCTGTCCCCCCTCCCACACACACACACACACACACACACACAGCCTCCTGTCAGTTGATGTCGAAAACAAAAGTAAGTTTTATTATAAGCGCCATCTGTCCGCGCCTCGGCCTGCCTGTGTTCCCCCGGCTTCACCGCCTCCATCTGCGGCTTCCTGTGCTCCGGAGATCACATGCGTTATTGTTGTTGTCGTGTTTTTCAGTTGGAGACATGTGGGGGGGGGGGGGGGGGGGGTCAGACATATGTTCAGAAATAATCCTGAACATCACATTCAAACGTAGAGTGAATCAATTAACATCTGAACTTTTACACTGATGTTATTTTATGCTGATTACAATGAGCACTTGAACTGTTGGTTCTGTACAAAGCACGTCATTATTTGAGATTATTATTACCCTGATACTTTATATATTATCAGTTTGCATGACCCAGCAATCTAATTATTGATGCCCTTCATTTAATAATCTTTCATGTTCTGTCTGAAATTGAATACTGTTTGCATTCTGTATTTAAATAACTTATTTTTAGTTTGTTGAAGGGAAATTACTTGATATAAGTACAGGGATCTGGAGAGATACAGTTGATATGTATACAGCAATGTGTTTTTTTTATAGCACTTCTTCTTCTTCTCAGGATTATGAAATAATAGCATCCGCCTCCACCCTTTTCTCTAGCGCCTAGGGTTGCCACCCAGCAGGATCATGGGCCCCATGGTGTCAATGGGGAGCCAGCTGCCTGGTCCCTCTTATGGCGGTGGGAACATGCCCATGCGGCCAGGCATGGGGCCTCCGAGCATGGACGCCTCGAGGAAGCGGTTCCTTCATCAGCATCAACAACACCACCAGCAAGAGGCGCTGGGAGGAGGCCACAGACGAGGGTAAACTGTGGAGAAGTGAGAGTGTTAGTGTGAGGGAAGGAGAAGAAAGGGAGAGGAACACTGACGAGGTTGATTGACCAAGACAGGTCAACGCAAAACCAATGAATAGATAGGTTGATATTTTCCTATAATATTATTCTTTTGTTTATAATGGTTCCACAAAAATGTCCACAAGGATCCTGAACAATAAAAAAGCTGCTGTGTAAAGAGGGAAGTGCCATTATGAAACTGGGAGTTTCATATCACTATGTTTGCAACACAATTTCTTATTTCTTAAGATTAATCTGACTTAACGGATAACAACTTAGTCACCCAGGACAAACGTTGCAGGAAGGCTTTAATATTTTCAATTTGACCTTTTGGTTGTAGTGTGTGTGCTTTAAAGATTTTAAACACAATCATACAATTATAGCTGATAGTAAAACGCAAATTCAACCCTCTTGTCATGTGAATGCATATTTTTATACATCATATCACAGTAGTAACATCGTCCCAGTTTTAAAAAGCAGAACTGCTGTAGTTCCTTGACACTATAACAACGCTGCTCTTTATAGTTGTTTCTCTACTGTTGCTGTACTCAGCTCAGATCACACGTGGATCGGAGCATCTCATGACTGACATTTGCCTTCAAAGCAGCAGACACACGCAGATATTTCTGACTTCAGTGAATGTGGCGAGTCATGAAGCGAGGCAGCATTTACAGTTTTTATCCACAATGATCCTCTTGTCTTAAAGGCTTATTTCATAACAACAAATCTCAGTATAGAAGGATTCACGAGCCACAAGGCTTGAAGCAACATCCTAAATTCTCATTAGAGAGGGGCGAAATTAAATTTAGTCATAATGAGGGGGAACTGTGTAATTTAATAAATTAAATAAAGATACAAAGGCACTTTTATGAAGTCAGTACCGATGATAACTGGGAGCCTGAGGTGCTTGTTCAGAGGAGTTAATGAAGAGATTGCAGCGGCCAAGATTTTGTCATCGCACTTTGAAGTTTTCACAAATTATAATCGAATGAAGTGAATTGGGTCTTTCGGTTCACCCTGTGTTAGTCCTGTATCTGCCTGTGCGCTGTCAGTAATTGGTTAATGAAGGTCATATTTTTAAGAGGGCTGATGCTGAATGATGAGACAACATTGACAACACAGTACAGAATGTCCTCGTCAAATTAAATCCAATTATCCTTGGATTTTCGAAAAGTCTTGTGGTTTTTACTTTGGAAATCATCATACATCATGTTTTCTGTGTGATTCAGGGCAAAAAGACGCAAAATGGCAGATAAGGTTCTCCCGCAAAGGGTAAGAAGATTTTAATTTTCTGATTCATACTGATAGTTGTCTGAAATGACTTATAACTTAACGTCCTTCCATGTTTTCTTTAGATTAGAGACCTGGTCCCTGAATCCCAGGCCTACATGGACCTCTTGGCCTTTGAGAGGAAACTGGATCAGACCATCGCTCGGAAGCGAATGGAGATTCAGGAAGCCATCAAGAAGCCTATTATGGTATCTCCTCATGATAGTGCATTATCAAACTTTCAGGACATTCAATAAAAAGTTTCAGTTCAGTTGGTGACGCGTGATTACAAGAGAGGAGCAGTGGGTGTGGATTCATTTTCCTAGAAATTCAACAGAAGAGCAACTGATGTATCCGTCTACAGTGCTGCCAAACAAGTATTTTGATAAAGACGTCACTCAACAATAATGTGGCCTGCCCACAATAAAAGCCTCTCTGTTTTTCAGCAGTTGAATTTTTATAATGTGAAGCAGCAGCAGTAGGAAGTTTGCATTAGCAGTAACTTGATATCGACTCATGAAAGTGAAAGTGAGGCAGATTTGTGATTAAAACACTGATGCTGGATCAAATGCAAGCATCATTTTCAGTGAATCCTTAATGGGTAGAAACTCAGCACATACATATATATATATATATAATCACACACATAATGTAAATACATTAAATAACTGTTAAAGAAAAATGCAGAACATACATACTACAAAGGGGTTTTATATCATGATCTATAACTTCTGATAATTTTAAAAGACTCATTTCTGACTGCTGTGTTCAGTTAAACAAAATGCCTACTTACTAAAAAAATCTGATTAAAATTTCTCATAAATAAATTTAGATTGAGAAACCCAGTTTTTTACTCATGATGCATCTGTTTGTTCTTCCCGCAGCAAAAACGCAAACTCAGGATCTACATTTCCAACACATACACACCCAGCAAGCCTGAGGGTGAGGAGGCAGAGAAGGTGTCGTCCTGGGAGCTGCGAGTGGAGGGAAAGCTTCTGGAGGAAGTACGTGAGCAACACGGCCGTTACATATGAATATTCTCGCCCTGTTTCACAATTGTCTTCCTGTGGTCTGACTCCCGAGTATTTTGGTCTCTGTTTCTGTGTTTCTGAAAACTTCACAGTCACTCAGCTCTGCTTGGCCCGAGTCCTTGGCTCAACCACGCAACCAGATGTGTGTTTACAGCTCTGCTCGCTCCACCTCACAACTCCTGACATACACACATGTGCTCATACACACAGGCTCATGTTCTCTATTTGAAACAAGGAATTGAAACCATTGGCCTCTACATACCAAGAGCTGACATGCCTCCCCTCCCTCCATCAGTTCCAGCTCAACTCATTGTGTTGTCTGCGACCACATGAAGGATCCTTGTTTTTTTTCGGTTAATTTTTCTCCTCTGGCTCTTTGGGTGAGGCATGCGTAGGAGGGTTTTTGCATGGAGACACTGAAAAAGAAGGCCAATGTGAGGGAAGGAGTGAAAGGGGTCGAGTTGTGCAAACAGTTTCGCCGGGCAGGGGAGAGGGTGGGGGTGCGACAGCTTTTTCTAGTTGTCTACAGTTGACAGAGTACAACAAGCACACACGGATACCGCTCTGGTTGCTCTCTTTTTCACACTCTTTTATGCACTTTGTAATTCTAGCCCGGCAAGCAAAAGAGGAAGTTCTCATCTTTCTTCAAGAGCCTGGTGATTGAGCTTGATAAGGAGCTCTATGGACCTGACAACCACTTAGTAGAGGTATTACAAAATGACACAAGTATTTGATTTAAGCCACGTAGACACAAAAGTGGAGCTCAGATGGAATCAGTAAAACTTTGGAGCTCTTCCTTTTTGAGCCAGTCTGTATTAGCAAGAATTTACATTTCCTTTAGTTTAGATTCAGCTCTAAGTGAACAAAAGAAAACAGAAGTTAGTTGATATTTTACTTGTTTTTTTTCTAACAGTGGCACAGAATGCCCACCACTCAGGAGACGGATGGTTTCCAGGTTAAAAGACCCGGAGACGTGAATGTTAAATGCACTCTACTGCTCATGCTCGACCACCAGGTATGTGCACATGCACCCAAGCACTAACACGCACACCAGTTGTATCCCTGGCTTGTACGACCTAGTCAAACTATTTTCCACTAACTTTGTCTTTTGCCGAATCCTTCTCTTTTTCTCTCAGCCCCCCCAGTACAAACTGGATCCACGGCTGGCTCGTCTGCTGGGTGTGCACACGCAGACAAGGGCCAGCATCATGCAAGCTCTCTGGCTCTATATCAAGAACAACAAGCTGCAGGATGGTCATGAGAAGGAGTACATCAACTGCAACCGCTATTTCAGACAAGTAATGCAACAATTTCTTACATGGTTTAGAGAGGAGGGGGGTGAAATGGTCTAGCCGGCTTTTTTAATGTTTCAATGTTTGTGGAGATAAAGCATTTGAAAAACTCTTCCTTAAACATATCCGACATTTTCTGTTCTCCAACTAAATGTTTTTCAGATCTTCAGTTGTCCTCGCATGAGGTTCTCTGAGATTCCCATGAAACTGGCGGGCCTGCTGCAGCATCCTGACCCCATCATCATCAATCATGTCATTAGGTAAGGGAGTGTGGATCATTATCTCCCTTCCTCTGGGTTTGTTCATGTGTGAATTACATTTGCTGATTCCTCCAAAGTATTTCCAAAGATTTGGTTTTTACGAGCTTCATTTTCAGCTACATTTACAGATCGTACTCGTTCAAAAATAAGATTTGTTTATCAATACCCTAGTTTTCTGTTCAACGTTGCGGTCAACATTACTCATTTGTTTCTAAGATTCTGTCTCGCTATCTGTGTGTCATCTGCAAGCAGTGTGGACCCCACAGATCAGAAGAAGACAGCTTGCTATGACATAGATGTGGAGGTGGACGATCCACTGAAAAGCCAAATGAACAGTTTCTTGTCCTCAACAACCAACCAACAGGAAATTGCAGCTCTGGAGATGAAGGTAAGGACCACCACTCAGTCTCTGATGCCTGCATTGTAGAAGAATTGTTATAAAGGTTGTTTTTAAGAGCATTTATCAATTACTATGCTATGGCTGTGTTCACTACAGATCCATGAGACCATTGAGTACATTAACCAGCTGAAGACAGAGAGAGACTTTATGCTGAGCTTCAGCAATAATCCACAGGACTTCATCCAGGACTGGCTCAAGTCTCAGAGCAGAGATCTGAAGGTAAACATCCAACACTTACTTAGTCATCATGTATCATTTATTTGTTAAAATCATTTCTTCTCCTTTTCTGTAAACTCATGTGGTTATTATCATGGCATCCGTCTTTATAATAACACTAATTAATTATTTCCTGGCATAGATTTCCCAATAATACATCCTATCTTTTGTATGTAACAGTGATATGTTTACAGTTCACTTGGATAATTACTGAATGACCAGGACCACATGTCCTTGCATCAACGGAATAAATTAAAAAATGTAAAACAGAGGTTCAGTAATCAGTTGCAGTTTGAGTTTAATGACTTGGCACTTGTAACTTCTGGTTTCTGGTTGTCAGTAGTGTTAAAGTGCATGAAATGATTATTAGGATTGCATAATTGAATTTTAAATTATTTGTACTCTTATGTTCTATAATAAAAAAAATGTTTCATCAGTTGATGACAGATGTGACAGGAAACCCAGAGGAGGAGAGGAGAACTGAGTTCTACCAGGCGCCCTGGGTACCAGAGGCAGTGGGCAGATACATTTACTCCAAAGTAAGGAATTACAGAGCCTAATGCACTGCTGCATGCTTGATGAATAATTTATTATAAGCGTTCAGCAGATTGTTATCGGTTGTAACTTGCACTGATCTGAACTGATTCCACTTCTTTGTTTTCAGGTGCAACAGAGGCGACAAGAGTTGGAGCAGGTGCTGGGGATCCGGCTCACCTAGATATTCCATATTTCAGAGGAGCCACAGCCAACTTGAATTTACTTCAAATGTTAACCTTTTTCTTCCATTAACATTGGAATTAGCTTTGAAAAGACACAAGCTAATATTGCAGCTTAAGTGTTCACTACGCCATCCTTACCGACATGAAATGAGAAGTGTGAATATATACATTCCTTTTGTTGTTGCCATAGATGCCTTGCATTGCATTGTCTGTGATATTGAGCCTTTCAAATACTCTTTGCCTTGTTTTGCAGTATATTTTCTTCACGGTACATTATCCTTAGAAAAGTGTAAGCATTGCTGCTGTTGAGGTGGTTTTCAAACGTTGTGCTATTTTGAGGGGGCGGGGGTGGGGTTCTGTTTACTGCCACATTTTAAAGCCATAACCTTTAGATAGGGAAACAAAAACCTGGTGGTAACCTGACATGGTTGAATTACTCATTTCATTATAATATATCCATGTATTCAAAAGTACATTTTGAATTTTTTTATTTTATTCTCAAGCAAAACAGCAGTTCACAAGATGTCTTGAGTCTTAGATAAGAAGCTTTTATAGCAAATAGTAGTTTCTGGGGTGTTGGTTCTGTTTTCTATTGATGGATGTGTCATTTGAAATGCTATGTAAGAAACAGGGATTTCCAGGAAAGCTCGACTATGGGAAAAGATCAAGCTTCTTATTTGTACAAAGACATGAATCTTACTCTGTTGAGCTGTAATTTAGCAGTTGTTTGTACTTTTTCAATGTTTACATGCTGTTTTCATTTGTTGGGGTGGGGGGAGGGGGGGGGTTGCATTGTTTTAATGCCAGGAAGAGGAATGGTGACAGGGTGTTTGGGTGGAAGAGCTCCTCCTGTAACATCCACCTCACAGCGTGCTTAACTGGTGTTTGTTGTTTCACGTCTTAACTTTTCATCGAAATGCTATTTTCTTAAGGTTTTATATGAAAATATTTCCAGAGCTTCTCTCGAAACAATCCATGTTACTGTGCCTGTTTTGTGAAGAAGGCACTTTTGAGAAATGTGTGTACAATGTGTTTTTTGTACAACCTCTTTGTAAAATGTTTGCATGTTGTGTA